CTTTATAGCTATAAGTATAGATAGTACTTTAATTTAGGTAAAGATTAGCTATAATAGTATAAATCTTCTTACTATACTTTATATACTATATATTAAGTATAGTATTAGGTACTAAGAGATTATAAGTATATAATAAGCTTATATTATATAGCTAGGTTACTACTTTTATAATATTTAGCTAGAGCTTTTTAGAAAGATTTACACTAACTCTTATCTTAATAAACTTAGTAATTATCTTTTAATCTACTCTCTCTACTTTTCTATTTAGTTTATAAGTATAAATAAAAGTGCGCTTTATAATAATACTCTACTCTTTAGTCTATATCTTAAAGTATAACTTATCTCTCTAAGGTAGCGTTATAATATTATTATCTTAGATAATAATATAAATATTAAGCTTATACTAAGCTATAAGAAAGCTTATAAAGTTATAGAAGACTTTTATAATTTCTATAAGCGTTTTAGCTTAGAGAGTATATTAATAGATTTTACTACTATAATTATCTTTAAGTACTATAATTTAGAGCTCTTTATTATAACTAGTAAGAAAGTTAAAAAGATTTTATAAAATTTTCTAATAAGATCTTAAAGCTTTTTTACGTAGTTATCTAGAGATACGCTATCTTATATAAGTAATAGCGTAATACTTATACTTACTTTAGCTTATTCTTTTAATATATATATTATATATATTCTTAATAAGAGCTTAGAGCGCTTTTAGATCTAGGTAGTCTACTTTTATATGCTAAAGCTTCTCTAAATTAAACTAAGAAAAGCTTCTCTAAAATTATTATAAGCGCTAGTTATTAGTTACACTTATTATAGTTAAGTAAAACTTTAAAAAATTATATTTAATAAACGTAAGCTTATACTTCTTCTTAAGCTTTACTAGTATAAAGTTATTAGTAAGCATTTCTATATAAAGTATTAAGTCTAACTCTAAGTACTATAGTCTAGCTTTATTAAGAGCTACTTCTAAAATAATATTAATATAGAAACTCTCTATAAGCGCTACGCTTATTAGAATAAAATTCTTTATATATAGTTCTTTTTTTCTAGTTAAAGCGTTTCTAATTCTTTATATACTATATCTAAGTACTTAGAAAAAAAAGCTTTTTACTTCTATAGTATAGAATTTATATACTCTTATAAAGGTTTTTAGCTTAAGTAAAGATATATTATTAATAAGATATACTACTACTTTATTATCTAAGATAGTACTTATAAAAAGTAAGTAGACGTTAAAATTTATAGTAGAGTATATACTACTAATACTTAGCTAACTTATAATAAGAGTAAAGTTAATAAATATTACTTAAATTAACTTTAGATAGATAAAGTTTAGGCTTTTAATCTATACTTACTATAGAGTAGTCTATCTCTTTTTATTAAGAGCTTTCTATAGGCTATTATACTTTAAGTCTCTAAGCTTAGTAGTAATCTTAGCTTTAGCTTTATTAGAAAGCTTTAGAAGTTTACTTATAAGCGCTATTTCTAAACGCTTATATATAGTAGTAAACTACTTATAGTACTATTTATAAGAGTAATTCTTTTTAAGCTTTTAGAATAAGTTATTATTATTAGAAGCTTATTATAGTACTTTTATAATAGTAAATATACTACCTCTACTAGTAGAGTAAGTAGTATACTCTTAGATTAGCGTAGTAAAAATCTTTAACACTTATTTAAAAGTAATCTAAGTTTTACTAATAGTAAGAGCTTTAATAAGGTTTTACTATATAAAGTACTTTTATTTTAAAGTAAGCTTAATACTAATTACTTTTAAATAGTTCTAGATAGTAAGTATATTATTAACTTTAGTAAGTTTATACGCTTTAGCTTAAGCTAAAATATAGAAGTATTTTTATTACTAGCGCTTAGCGTTAATATATTTTTATTATACTTTTTAGAAGTATACTCTATACTATAAGTATATAAGATTCTTAGTATAGTTCTTCTTTAGAAAAAGTATAAACTTAAGATATTTAATAAGTACTTATAATATAGCCTTTTTCTTTATAGAAATAAAGAGTATAGTAAAAGCTAAAAGCTTTAGACTAATAGTCTAATTAATCTAGTTCTAAAGATATCTAATATAAGTACTCTTTAACTACTATTTTATTACTTATACTTTATACTTTATAATAAATAAGTTATACTTATTAGCGTAGAGCTTATTAACTAAAGTATTCTATATAATTACTACTAGCTCTAGAGTAGTTAAAACGCTTATCTAGATAAAAGTAGCTATTTTAGTATTAGAGTTAATATTAGTCTAAATTTCTTTACTTAAAGTATAAAATTTAAACTAGGTAAACTACTTAGACTAATACGCTAAGTTAGTAAGTATAAAAGCTTTTATAAAAATTATTATAAAGTTACTTATTATAAGTAATAAAGTAGTACTTCTATAAAAGTGTAAAGATTAGTAATAGAATTAGTATAGCTATACTTTATTAAACGCCTTATATTTTAAGTATATAAATATAGAACTATATTATTTTCTTAAAGTACTAAGCTTATAACTATTATGTCTAGAAGTATAAAAATAAATAAAAAATAAATTATTATATTATAAGCTTACTTAGAAAGCTCTCTTAAGTAGTAAAGCTTCTAAAAGCTTATCTTAATCTATACTAGTATAATTACGTGCTATACTTTTAAGAAGTATCTAGAGGTATATTCTATAATATTTTTTTATAGTAATTTTTAGTTACTTAAGTTTTATTACTTTAAAAAATTAAGTTTTACTACTTAAGTATTTAATTTTTATAATTTTTAGCTTAAAGCTTCTTTTTAGTATAATTTATTTTTAAAAGTAGTAGTTTAAAAAAAGTAATTTTTTTAGTATATTTAGTATTATAAAAAGTATAGTAAACTAAGTATTCTTTTATATACTAATCTAAAAAGTAAAAAAATAAAGCTAAGTAGCTTATTTAGTAAGTTTTTTTAAATAATTAAATAAATTAAATAAGTTTTTTTACTTATTTATAGCTAAGTAAAGAAAGTTTACTAAATTTTTTTTTAAAGTAATAGAGCTAAATTTAATATATTTTACTTACTTATATAATAAGCTTAAGTAAGTAGCTATTTAAAACTATATATAGCTAGTATTAAGAAGTATTATTACTATAAGTTTTTTATCTTTAGTTAGTTACTTTTTATACTTTAAAGTACTAGGCTTATTTATAATTATATTAATAAAAAAAGAAAAGCTTTATAATTTATATAAAATGTAAAAAATAAAGGCTTTTTAAATTAAATAGAAATTTATCTAAAGTAGCACTAAATATAAGCTTAGCAGCTCTACTGTATATTACTTTTGCTTATTACCGCTGTAATAGGTGAGATGAGCTTACCCGAACCCAAACCTTCGACGTCGAGCACCGCCAACGCGTACCTCGGTTCCGCGTCTCCCCGCATCATCAACGCGACAAGCACGTCCACGCCTCCGGACAACATGGGATACGTACGTACCACGCGCATGTAACTAGCATTTAATTCCCCCAAACATCGACTGTCATCCACCCACCCATCCAAATCAAACCAAAACTCCAGCCAAAAATGTCCCCCAAAGAAACCCCCCGCCACAAACCAGACATCGTCCTCCCCACTTCCTACAACGACCTGAAATTCACCCAAATCCGCACTCAGCACCATGACAAAGAGCCTTCTGTCATCATCCTCACATTATACAGGCCCGGAAACCACAATGCCTTCACCGACACGATGCGCGCGGAGATTGAAGAAGCATACGGCATGTTCGATGCAGACGAGCGGGTGAAATGCATCGTGGTAACAGGAGATGGGCGGATCTTCTGTGCGGGCGCGGATCTAGATGAGGGGTTTGGGGAGGGGGTTAATGGGGCGGACGCGGAGAGGGTGCAGGATCATCGGGATGGGTATGTTGGGTGTTTTTATTGCTGTGTTGACGATGTTTCCAATCGCTGTTCCGTGATCAAAGAGAACGAGGCTGGGTTGGTCAAATTGATAAAGAACAGTATGCTAACACAAGAAATATTCAGAGGCGGACGCGTAGCCCTAGCCATCCATCATTGCCGCAAGCCTTCAATCGCCGCGCTGCAAGGTTCCGCAGTTGGAATTGGCATCACGATGACTCTCCCCATGAACATCCGCATAGCGTTTGCGTCGGCGAAGATAGGCTTTGTTTTCTCGCGCCGTGGACTCATCATGGAAGCGTGTTCTTCCTTCTTCCTACCCCGGTTGATCGGCCATAGTCGCGCTATGCAGGCTGTGACGACAGGCAGCACGTATCTTGCTAGTCACAAGGTCTGGGATGGCTTGTTTGCGGAGGTGTGCGACAAGGCGGAAGACGTGTTGCCGAGGGCGCTCGAGGTTGCAGAAGACGTGGTGAAGAACACGAGTGGCGTGAGTACGTATCTGATGAAGGAGCTGATGTACAGGGATGCGGGGAGTCCTGAGGGTCAGCATTTGTTGGATAGCAGGGTCATCTACGAGTTGTTTGGATCGCCGTAAGTCCTCCTTGCTACTGATCGGTAGGCATAAGCTAACTAGCCATAGCGATAACACGGAGGGTGTGAAATCCTTTATGGAGAAGAGGCCAGCGAAGTTCACGGGAACCATGGACACGACAAATGTGACTGGGTACCCATGGTGGATGCCAATAGACACACTGGGAAGGCCAAAGGTGGCGCCAACAGGGAGGGCGAAGATCTAATCGCATGTTAGAAAATGGGTTAAAATGCAACATGTACTGCTCAAGTGTATTGGCATGACTTCATTGTCTATCGTCCAACTCATCCCTCGGTATCGCCTTTGTTCGACGTCCCTGCAAGTATCGCCTTCACGCGCGTGCCTAGCTAGCACCCCAAACTGCATCACGCGCACCGACGGCCGAATGGAGGTATCAGGGATTTTCATTCGTTCCTAATGTACTTCTTTTCGTGAAGCATGCATAACCGAGGGAAACCCATAACATCCCTTCCCATCCAGACCGCACTCCGTAATGAGAAACACGCTTAGAAGAAAGTGGATGGTCGGGTAGAGGAGAAGACCTTCTTTCCAACCTTCTTGTTGATGCGGTGGGGCAGCGGGAACTTGAGGTTCTTGGTGAGGAGCTGCTTGATGTATGGGCGGCGGAGGTCGTCGGCCTTCTCGACCTCAACAACCTTGAGAATCTAGATTGAGTGTGAGTGATTTGACGCAGACGGCTGAGTCGATTTGATCATACCTGAACGGACCTGAAGCGCGATCGGTGACGGGCGGCCATATCCTGGTACAGAGCATCGACGGCGGCGACACGGGACATCTCGCGGTACTCCTTGTACATGTTGTGGGTACCGGAGCGCGAGTCGTACTTGAGCCAGATACCGAAGTTCTTGACCTTCTGGGGCTTCTTCTCGTGGATCTGAACCGGGTCAGTTTGTTGTAGCGCCGTCTTCTGCTGCCTCGACATACCTGGTTTACGGAGACGATCTCACCGTTGGCCTTCTTGATCTTGCGGAGCTTGCCAAGGAAGTACCAGAACCGCGACTTGGCGACAACCTCGTTGGTCGCAAAGATGCGCATGCGGTAGATCTTGGGCGAGGGGTTGGTCTCGCTGGGCAGATGGCGCCCGATGATCTGGTATTCCTGGAAGCGTGCTGAAGCATCGTCAGTACTGCTTCAATAACAATATTTTGTCCTAGTCCAGCAATTGCAGCAGTCGTGGTTGGGGAAGGCGGTCGGGTTAGGGCAATCGAGTACGGTCGTATTCGAATTTGTCGCATGCGGACGATCTCACGGGCTTCGCTGCCGTTGTCATAAGTTTTCGGCGCCGTTGGCCTGTCCGCTGTGCATGCACACCACCAAAGCTCCTTCCCACTCAACCCCAGCTCGGTGTCGTTTTATCGCGATGGTGAGAGACGGTCATGGTCGCGCTGGCCTCGTTCGAAAATTCCATCGGCTGCAATTGCTGGACGGGACGATGTTGCGGACGAAGAAAATTGCTTACCCATCTGCGACTGGTTAGCGGGCGGTATGGGCACGAGCTGGCGACGTAGACTGACCTTGATTGTGCTGTGAGGTTAGTACCTTGAGTTGAGAAGTTCAGTCAGGTCGTCTCCATCGTGGATTGACAAGCGAATTCGACACCACCTTGTGCGCGCTAGCCGAGTTGAGCAGGGGCCCACAACAACTTGGCGGCAGGCGCTATGGACGTCGGCGAACAAACAGCCCAAACACCCGACCACCTCGAGGACCACTAGAACACCCACCAGTTGGTTCTCAGCAAACAATCCGCACCATGTCAAAGGGCTGAGAGTACCAACTGAAGTCGCGCAAACCTTCAGATTCACGCGACAACCGACATCCCGTAACCCGACCGAATCCCTCATGGCCGCCATGCAAGCTGCACTCGTGCCTTTCCATCAGGCACTGGCCAGTGGCCTTGCGCAACCCGTCGCAGACTTCTTCAGTCCAGTCGCACCCGCGCATGACCCTGGCCGGCTATACGACTTCTACCGCGCATCCAGTGACGAGAAGATTGAAGGCGATGTTATTTATGCGCTCGAACAGCGAATGAACCCCAAAAAGGCCAAGGCTTCTCCCTGGGTTGATATCATTGCTACTTATTGGCGCGCTGTCAAAGAGATCATCAAGACCGACGAAGCAGCAAATCAGGGCAAGCTGAATGAGCGTCAATACCTGGCAGTATACGATACGTGGAAGGACCTGACGAGCATCTTCATCAAGCACATATCTGGTGGACTGCTACCAGCATGGGCCATATTCACCCTGTACTTCACTGCAAATCATCTTAGGAAGATAGCAATCAAAGCAGACGAGCAATTGGCCAAGTCGAAACCAGCAGCTCTCAACACCGGCTACTCAGACGATATCGTGAGCACAGCACCTCAAAATCAGAAGCTTGAAGAAGCTGCGCGAGTATTCAACAGGATCTTTGCCCTTTGTCTGGGTGACAGGAACCCCGACATGTCACAATCGCGAAAGTGGGGTGTATATTGCATAGCCAACCTTCAGTTCAAGACGTATTTCAAAGTAAGCCCGATCGCAGTCTGCGTGGTGTAACGACAGCTAACGCGCATGTACCTAGTTGAAAGCAATTAGCTTATCCAAGAACGTTGTACGATCGATCGAAGCACAGTCCGACCTACCTACATTTGAGCTGTACCCGCGGGCGCATCGAGTCACATACAAATACTATCTTGGAGTGCTGGCGTTCCTGCAGGAAGACTACGCCAAGGCAGAAAGCAGCTTGCAGCAGGCATGGGAATCTTGCTGGTCAAAGTCGCAACAAAACAAATCGTGAGTTAGGTCAATCTAACGGATAACTCCTCGGAACTAACAGTTCAGGCTCATACTCACATACCTCATTCCCTGCCGCCTGATCACTCAACACAAGGTTCCCACCGCCAGCCTACTCGCCGAAGCCCCTCGTCTAGAACGCATTTTCGGCCCCCTCGTATCCTGCATAAAACGAGGCGATCTTACGGGCTTCGACAAGGCACTGGCAGAAGGCGAACCAGAGTTTGTCAGACGGCGCATCTTCCTTACTCTGGAGCGGAGCCGCGACATCGCTTTGCGCAACCTTCTCCGAAAGGTTTACCTCGCTGGTGGCTTTGACGATCTCAAAGAAGGACAGACGGAGAAGGACCGGATACGGAAGTCGCGAGTACCGCTAGCAAACTTTGCCGCCGCGCTCAGGATGGGTATTGCAGGCGAAGGCAGCGGCCAAGCAGTGGAGGACGACGAGGTCGAGTGCCTATTGGCAAACCAGATTTACAAGGTGCGTACGCTATGCCCCAGCGTTGGGCTTCTATAGGTCTTACCCGGCTCTGAGGCAGCCTCGTCACGGATGTCACACCAAGAACCCACTCGGCTAACCCAGATTGCAGGGTCTGATGAAAGGCTACATCTCGCGCGAACACGGCATGGTAGTCATGAACAAGAAGGGCGCATTTCCGGGCACAGGGGTCTGATGCCTAAAAACGTCGGCCTGCTCCCGACTACCATACAGATCAACTCCTTGCTCTATCACAATCACGAACCACGACACGTCACTGTCCAAGCTGGGAGCAGATGCGCGATCGCATGTGTAAGCAGCCTCGATGCGCATGGAACGACGATGTGCGATGCACCACACCATCGCGCCAAGTGGGGATTGACGACGAAGGAAGGCAAGTTGAAATCGCCAATATCTCAATAAATGCTACCGATCTGCCTCAAACTTTGTATCCCTGGTATTTCCTTTATCTAACCCCTCCCTTGCATGGTTCGTGAGACAAGCCGGCTCTTCGACGCGGCCAGTGACTGGTGCAGGACCCCAAGCCGCGTCCCGCACAGACGCGCTGTCGCCCTCTCAGCTGATATCGCGTTGCAGGCCCCGGCCCACACCCAACCCGCCGCCCTGTCCATCTTTACCCCACTTGCACTACCAGCCCAACGCGACGCGACGCGATACATTGCTTCCGCCTCGCTTCGACGTGCAGATGGTGTCCTTGTCGCATCTTGCATGAACAGCCAAGTATGCCGGCTGAATAACTGTGACTGTACCAGCAAGTACCAGTGCCACGCCTAGTCCGCGCATGTGGAGCGTTTGAGAAGATGAGTCAACGGGAATCGATCGGCGGCGTTCCCTCGTCTCCATGCCGAGTCCTGCTTATCCACTTGGCTTTGTCTTCGGGCATCGTTAAGACGCTGCTTTCGTTCTCCATCCCGCTTTGTATGGTTCATCCCGGACTGGCGTCAAGTATAGCGTTCGCCGACGCACCTCAGCTCACGGCTGACCCTTTCTGTCTTTCCTTCTTTCCTCCTGCTTCCGCTCGCAGCCCACTTGCCTTAGTCGCTATGTACCCTGCTGCTTTGCCCCGGAGCTGTCCTACCTAGAGCGATTCGATAATAGACTTCACTCCGCGTATCAGGTTGTGCGCAAACTTGGTAGCGACATTGCCCCCCGTTTTACTGTTGTTCTTATGGTTCGGGTGATACTTGCGATACTGCTTTGGAACTTTCTTTCCTCCGACGCGTTTTGCGCCGATGGCTTGGGCGGAGTGTCGAGGTGGTTTTTCGGGGAACATGGCTTTGTGGTAATCGTGTTGCGTGGTGTGTAAAGTTGTGACAAAACTGGCAAGTACTGCGGATATGGTAATCACGGTGTCTATCGTATCATCAATTCCACATGCGCTTGGTCATCGTTCCAAATATATACTTGGAGGTTGTGAAGTGCGTGCTGCGTAGATGCCGTGTTGCCGGCCAATGATATCAGCCAAGCCAGTGTGGAGACGGAGGATCAAGGCTGAGCAGCATGGTCGCTATGAGCAGTTGGAGGCCTAAATGAATTACTGCGACATGCGCCATCACGTCGGGTTAGATACGATAATCGAAGAATGCAAGCGTAAGTATTCGTGATATTGTATGCTATCATTAATCGCTTGAAACATAGTACGAAGGATGCGACCAAGTCCTGTTACAATTTGATGCTGCCGTCCTGCAGATAATACTGCAACAATTGTAGGGAAGGAACTGGCTTCCCTAAAGGAGAATCAAAAACGCGACGAAGGACATAAGTAAAGCGCAACCATTCTGGTAACTTGGATAGCCAGGAAGTGTTTTCTGTCTTGAGATGCAGAGAGGAAAGTTGAACCAATGCGAAAAGGCCTGCGCATCTAGGCAATTTTGAGGCCGATGGAGAAGACGGGAAAGATAAGGAAAACCAAGCCAGGTAAAGAGATAAGTATAGTACAACAGTGGCGTGAATGAGTGCCAGAAAGGTATATCCAGACCGTAACGCCGTGCAGCAACAAACCCAGACTGAAGCAGAACCCAGTAAAGAAAAGGCATAGCCGCGAGGCTGAAACGCAAGGTGTATATACAAGAAGGTCAAGAAATAGCAGATGAAAGGAGTCATTAGTTGGGGGCGATGAAGAGGGCAAGCTACTCAAGGGAAGCTCGAAAGGATCAAATGCGATGGCAGCAACTTAGTGCGGCGACTTCGCTGAAAGGTCGTCCATGTGGTTGACCATGGCAACGAACAAGTCGAAGAAGAGCTTGCCACCGTTCTCCATCTCGTTCTGCATTGTGCCGCTGCGCTTAAATGTGTGTCGGGCGCGGATGATGAGCGCGAGGTAGTGTGCGCGAAGCTTGGAGTCGTTGTCAGGAGTGTTGGCATATGCGTAACGGGCGGAGGTTAAGATAGTCGAGCATTGGATGCCAGATTGGAGGCCTTGCTTCTTGAGCGCAAGTTTCTTCAGTTCCTGGAGTCCGTACTTGTCGGCTTGACAGTAGATGACGGTGTCTTTCAGTATCGGTCCAACCGAAGACTGAACGATGGCTTCGTGGGCGTTGTTGGCGTTTCCACCATCTTCAAGGTTCCAGCTGTTTCGCTTCTTGTCATACTCCATACGTGGGTAGTAGTCGCCCTTGTAGAGGTACTCGAGGATCGATGAGAAGACTTCGGGCTCTTCGTCGGGTAGGTCGATGCGCTTGTTGGTAGACTGGAAGAACTGACCGCTACAGAGAGTCTGGAACCAGGGAGAATGCGATAGAACGTCTTCGTGCGCTGCAAATAGTCGCTGCTCGCGGCCGACGGAGATAGTGATGATGGCACTGACGGAAGTTGTCAGTAAAGTTTCTTCGGCTTTCATCGTAAAAGAACAGACTCACCTTCCCAGTGTTGGAGAAGTTTGGTTCGATTGTGGTGATGATGCCTGGGCATGCTGTGCTAGTCGTTCTACTCTCCTCGGTGAGTCTCTGAAGGAGGGGTTCTTCTTGTGTGATTTGGACTTGGATGCGCGATGTTTCGAGAAGCTGCCCTCTTGATGGCGCGTGCGGTTTGATGAGAACATGATGATGCGATGTTGGAATGCTGTGTTTACGATGGATGGTTTCGGTGCGAAGAGGTATCGCTGATACTTATAGGTGCAGTGAGTAGGCAGCAAGCGTACGAGTACAAGTAGGCAAAGCAGACGACTCCGAAAGATCCTTAGGCAGAAACGTCGTAGGGCAAATAGGACGATAGCATGCAAGTACTAGGCGACTGCAGCCGTGTATATATACCTGACTCCTCACAGGAGGCCACTTTCCGGCCCTCGGCCAGGGTGAGGGTGAATTGCGACGCGATTGGACGCGTAAATGGACCTAACGCGTAAACGCGATATCACATGTTCCACTTTGCCTCTTCCAGAGCTAAGAGTCAGGACGGCTGAGCCCCCGGTCCTGGACCAAGCAACACTTGTGCAAGGTTGTGAAACAAGGGCGGAACAAAGAAGGCTGATGGCGCTAGTTGTGCGCCGGTGGCATGGCGTGTTCCTCTACCGCAAACAACTGAGCCCGCTCAGGACATGTTAGCAGGACCTGAGGACCGACACTTCTAATGTCTCAAACCGTGCTTTTTGCTTGAGGCATGCGACGAGCATTCGCACGGCACGATGAAGTGATGAGATGACTGGTCGCGTTCTTTGCGCAGGGCTCTGTAAAGGGTTGAAGCTTTGGCCAGGCACCCAAGAAACTTTGCGAAAAGCAATCGACGCCGCCGCGGTGCAACAGCCAGCGTCGGCTCATCGCTTGCATCCGCGAATCAACAAATTGCGGCCGTCCACCGGAGGCCCCATGTAGAGGCCGTTTGGCGTTCCCCTGAGGGGCAAATGTCGTGTTGAAGGACCGATGGTGGGAGAGAGGCGTAGCGCGAGGCTGCGATCCGGTTCCGCGCAATGACAGGATTCGCGGCTGGCAAAGGCGATGTCAGCGACCATGACACGGTCCCTGATGCCGTGAAATTATGCGTCGCTGATCAATGAACCTCGGACGCGATGGGTCGCGTCGGTGGAGCTGGCCAGGCACGCACAAAGAAAAGCGCCCCTCGACGCGTCCTCGCGTCTTCACGTTACCTCCATGGCTGCCAATTAAGCCCGCATCCGGCATGGCGCCCAACGCTATCAGGGGACCCAACGGCTGCGCAGTTTCACTACGTCCGCAAGCATCATAAATGACGGCAGCAGCAGCAGCACCCAGCCGCTGTCGCATTAGCCGTTGTTCCTTTGGATACAACGTCAGTTTTGTGGGGGGCTATCGTCAAAGGCGCACTCTATTTATTCTGGGAATTCCAATCAAACATGTAAGCGGCATCGCAGCGTGGTAAACCGCGACGGTGGAATTCCACGACAGCTTACAGTCAATCGCGTCTGGATAGGTCGACTACGGATACCAAAAGCCGTTCAAAAGCAGCTTTGATCATTAGCAAGATTCACGGTTCTGCGACACAAGTTCTGCTTTGAGCCCACCCAGGTATCGGCCCGTGTTAGGCAGTAGATACTACACGATTGTCGACTACATTCACCAGTAGGGTATGCCAACAGTTGTCTACTATCCGGGTGAAGGGATCTCGACAGTAGTTAACAGTACGCCGCTTGGCAGCCGAGACAGTCAACTTTTGCGTCGTCAAAAGCGAACTGCCTTAAAACAGGCGACAACTTCCAGCGTGCAAAGAGCAGTGGATTCTCCACCAAGATCCGGCGCAGCATCTCCCCTCTCTTCTCTGCACCTGGCCATTCGCCCTGCCACACGCGTACATAAGGCACCATAATTTCCAAGGCCTGCCTAACCCATCTCCCTGCTCTTTCCTCACCAATCCTCCCCTTTTGTACCATCCGCCTCTCCAGCTCCCCCAAGAAATGCTCTCTCTCTTGCATGTTCTCTACCAACGCAGCCTGCATGACCGCAAGTAGGATATGTGACCGGATTGAACAGTCCAACTCATCCACCTTGATTGCTCCAGCTCCTAGTCCGGCTGTCTCCTCCATCGCAACAGCGGCTAGGAACTCGACCTCCTCCTCACTCCCAATCTCTTCCTGCCACCCCCTCTGCAACGCTTGATCTGCAGTCCCTCCATCCGGTATCCCACACCAGAAAAACACTGGCTTGCTAGGTTCTGGTTCGACAACCTTACCCGAAGAAACCTGTGCGAGGTACTGTGCTTCCAAACTGTGTATATCATACAATCCCGACGCGACATTGAGCCCAAAGTGATGGGGCCCCCATGCTTCGCGGTTGTCCTTGCGAGGCGATGGGTCAGATGTAGGGCTCGAAGATGAAGGGATCTTCTCCTCTCCCTCCAGCTGGGTGTTGGTGTTCGTGGACAACGCTTCTTGTTTCGATTCTGCGATGGGAGGTTTGTAGTACTCGTCTAGCCAGAAGCGCGCATGTGGTTCTGAAAAGGGGGGTGTGCTGGGGTAGGCCGCGTGTAGGCGTGTCAAGGCTGTGTCAAGCGTGCGGAGGGCTATTTCAGTAATCGTGTCAAATGGAAGGAACGGTTGCCTGTGGCAAGTCCGCCCCACAGTATAAGCCCAGCGGGGGAGCTTTAGGACGTGTTTGGATACCGGATTGTCACGCGGCAGACACAGTGGGGAGGACGAGTCCGGAAGATCCTGGAGGTCGGGCATGCGGTAGAAGCGTGCTGTGGTGGGTTGGGTAAGGAATGCGGTGGAGTAGTAGGAGCGCCAGGCTGTGGGACTCAAGAGGTCATGGTGCGCAGTGTAGAAGGCGTCGAAGTCTGAGAAGGTGAGAGGGTCGTCTCCATTTAGTTGGTCGGTCCAGCGGTAGTAGGCTGCTGCGATCTGGGCGAGATAAAATATATCCAAGGTACTGTTTTATCTTAGTCACACACGTGCAGGTGCTGGGTACATCGGTATGAGGGATTCTCATATGAGGATGTAGCTTACCGATTGAAGCGGAGCTCGTCCTCACCAAAAGACCAGCCATGCGCGTGCAGCTTCTCCACAACATCATATACGCCCTGGCTGTCCCACAGCCCCTCATCGATATAAATGTATGCGATTCGCAAGACATCATCGTGACATGTTACTGGCACGATTCCGCCTTCCACATTAGCCAGGAATGCCTTGGCTTTATCGTCCATTGTAGTGTCTGTCGTACGCAGAATGCAATTGCTGGGGTTGATGTTTTGACATTTGCCTCTAGGGTTGGAAAAGTAACAGCGCAGTTTCACTACGTCCGCAACATCATAAATTACGGCAGCAGCACCCAGCATGCTTTGGACGCATCATTTTGTGACGCATCGATGTGCGGCAGAGCTTTCCGCTCTCACAACGCCGTTCTTCGTCGTTTCTACCCCTCTTCATCACGCTTGACAGCCGAAACATGTCCCACATGTCGCACCGTCCAAGCTGTGTGAGCTGCCCTCATCTGCAGATCGGAATGATCGCCAACAGTCATTGCATCGTCAGTCGTCTCCTCAAGCCACGAAAGTATGCTCTCTATTGGGTTCCATTTGCGTCGTTCGCTCTGTTGGAATTTGAATATTCAGGTGGCTGGTTCCCAGCCACCTTAGTAGCTAGCATATAGGGGCGGCTTCGCCGCCCACTTTTAGTATTTAATTAATCTTTATCTTATCCTATTTTAATAGGTTATAAGCCTAGGTTTTGCGCAGCAAAATAAAGATACCTATTTTTCTCTTTCTCTCTTTTTAAACTCTCTTACTAGGCACGTAAGCGTTCTCTTTAATAGAGCCTACAACCTTCTATAACATAGTAATTTAGATACTTCTTCTAGGCGTAGAGCCCTTAAGAACTAGAGAGAACTAAAGCTTATTCTAAACAAGCTCTTATCTAATATTAATTAAAGAGTATTTCTAAAAGAGACAGAGAGGCCTTTTAAATAGCAGGTTTAGGCTAAGTTATAGAGATAAAGTCTTCTACTTCCTAGAACTAATCTTTAGCTATTAATCTATAGCTTTTAGCGTTTCTTATATAAGCTTATTATGCTTAAAAAAGTAGAGGTAAAGATAACTAGAATCTACACAGCTACTGCAGCAGCCTCTATTTACTAAGTATTACCTTTTATATTATACGCTCTAGTTAGAACCTAAACTAGAAAAGCTTTAAGAAGTTATTTATAAGCAGTAATTCTACCTCTCTAACAATCTTAGAATATTCTTAGTTATTAAAGATAAGGCTACCTACTATAAATTTTTAGATTCTGCCTTACAGAATACTCTACGCTAAAGACGTCTATTACGTAAAACACGCTTCTAGAACTCTTACTCTAGCTAACTATACTTTGCTAAAGCTACTACGTAGTACCTAGAGAACTACGCGCGCCTAATAACTATAGTTTACTAAAGCTACTACTTAGTTACTAGAAAATTGCAGTCTCTATATAGTATACAGAAATATTGTTTAGCTTAAATTTTGCAGCGCAGAGTTTAGATAGCAGTAACTATCTTAGAGGTACTATTTTTGTATAGAAAATAGTATAGATATACTTATAGTTATATAAACTATAAAGAAGATCTTAAAATTCTAATAAATTTTAAAGTAGAACTAGAAATAGACTAGCTTAAATTATTAGCGGCTATTAGAGCTAACAACGTAGGCACTAAATAAGCAAATTCAGCAGCAACTAGCCTAAAGCTAGCAGCTATTAGCAACGCTATAGAGAGAGAAAAAGCCGCCTAAATTACTAGGTCTTATAGGTAGTAGAGCCGCTAGAGGCAAGCTAAGAAGAACTACTAAATTTAGGCTATAGCAATAGAGCTATAAATAACAAACAGCTAAGCCTCTAACACTAATAAATAGCTAAGACACTAATAGCGCTTTTAAAAGCGCTAAATTATTCTATCTCTTTAGTAGCCTACTAGACTAGCTCTAGCTTCTCTAGAACAAGACATAGTTCTAGATTATAGAGAAAGACCTAGTCTTAGATTAAGAATAGCAGCAGCATCTATTATCGCTAAAAAGAAAAGGCGCCTAGCAGTAGCAGAGAGAGAGAGCGTAAAGCTAGATAGGTAGCTAAGCAAAATTTTTTAAGTAAATATAGCTAGTAGATATCT